TTTTTAAATTTCGGCGTGAAAAATTGATAATTAAAAAAAAAAAAAAAAAAAAAAAATGAATGTATTATTCTCGGGTGACACAATGACAAATCGCTGCGTAAGCGGATGCATTTTCGGCACGTGTAGAGAATTGATGACAATAAAACATCTGGGTTTGTTTCTCTAAAGTAAGAAAGATTTCTATCTTTTCTCTCTAGACTTCTGTTAAGGAAACGGACGGTTGGGATTTTTCTTTGTTTCCCGACCAGAAACAAGTTCGGTCCCGTTGGGATTTCGAATCCCCCCGTATGGAGAAGCGCGTCGGCGTCGCCTGAAACGAAAGTAAGAGCGACGCGACACGACGTGTGACATGACGCGAGGCGCGTCTCGCAAAAGTGTGAAAAGAAAAAAAAAACACGCAGCGAGAAACGTCTCCACGGAATCTGGCTCGCAATCCGAGCTCACGGCCGGTCACCTAACCTTAACGCGGTTAAGTCCGCCGCTCCGCGCTCTCTCTCTCTCTCTCTCCTCTCCGCCGCACGCTCAGCCGGCGTATCGTTCGTCGTCAGGTTTATGTATCATCGCACTCACCTCGGTATCGGTGTATTTCACAGGTGTTTCTCGCGGCCGAGGGAAGGGGGAGGACGACGACGTCGACGACGGCAATGGTTGCGTGTCCTCTCGTCGTACAAAATGAGGAGAGAAATCCCGCTTGCGACTTTTCCACACTCCCGATCCTCGCGTATCCTTCGCACGGAGAGGCGACGGCGAGAAAAAAATGCCGGGCGAGACGGCGACGCTCCGGAGCGCGTTACGACGCGTCGGCGCGCACGACGTAAAAAAAAATTTATATATATATATATACGTATATGTGTATACACACTACATGCGCACACTACCGACGCGACTGAGAGACGACGATTATACGATCACACGACAACGACGACGAGAGCGGCGACGGCGACACCGCGACGGAGCCGCTGGGCGTACTGTGCAGAACGGACGACGGCAGTATGGCGTCCGGCGGCTTTCCTGCCCGTCCGCTCGCTCTCCCACCACCTCGTCAGGTTTATGTATCATCGCACTCACCTCGGTATCGGTGTATTTCACAGGTGTTTCTCGCGGCCGAGGGAAGGGGGAGGACGACGACGTCGACGACGGCAATGGTTGCGTGTCCTCTCGTCGTACAAAATGAGGAGAGAAATCCCGCTTGCGACTTTTCCACACTCCCGATCCTCGCGTATCCTTCGCACGGAGAGGCGACGGCGAGAAAAAAATGCCGGGCGAGACGGCGACGCTCCGGAGCGCGTTACGACGCGTCGGCGCGCACGACGTAAAAAAAAATTTATATATATATATATACGTATATGTGTATACACACTACATGCGCACACTACCGACGCGACTGAGAGACGACGATTATACGATCACACGACAACGACGACGAGAGCGGCGACGGCGACACCGCGACGGAGCCGCTGGGCGCGTACTGTGCGGAACGGACGACGGCAGTATGGCGTCCGGCGGCTTTCCTGCCCGTCCGCTCGCTCTCCCACCACCCCTCCCTTCCCAGCCCGCTTACCATTATCCCCATTCCCGCGCCACGTAATGCGCTGTCTCGGTTCAATTCGTGTTACGCTGCGCATCGACGTTCTCTCCCTCTCTCTCTTTTTCTCTGCTGTGTGTGTGTCTCTCTCTCTCTCTCTCACACACACACGCCGGTTGAGTCGGGTAGCATCGTCTCCTTTTATCTTGCGCTGTTTAAAGCTAGGGCTCTTTTTCTCTCTCGTACTAACTCGATCTCAGCTGTCGCTGATCCGTCGGTCTATCTCTCTTCGACGAATTCTCATTCTCTCTCTCTCTCTTTCGGATATAGCTCTATCTCCACCGATACCACCGTCGTAGGCTTTTCTCTGTTTCGATCCCCCGTTTCTCCAATACACGACAAACCGCGAGCTCTTTCCCACCTGTCTCGCCGCCAATGCCAATGCACTGCATCCTTTTCCCGTTCGAGCGCTCTCCTTCCACCCCTGCGATCCATCTCTTTCTCTTCTCGCTTTTCTCTCGCTATCGATGACGGTATGTTCCTCCCTCTCTCTCTCTCTCTTGTTGACAATTCAGTCCGCTCCTTCACCGCTCTGTCTCGATCGCGGAGGTAGAGGAGAAAACTCCACGTTGATCGTGCACAAGTGTGTGCATGTATCTCGACTGACAACAACGGACGATACTTTCCGTTGGCGCCGTCGATGACGGGCCAATCGGCACGCGGCCGGTGACTGTCCCCTGTGAGGTCGCACGACCAGACGTGTGTGCTCTCCTCCGCTCCCCCCCCCCTTCCCACCAACTACCAGCGAACCGCGCCGGGAACGTGGGCGAGATTAATATTAGATCGATTGTCGTTAATAACATCTCTCCGGCATTCTGTCGCGAGCGCCGCGCTATTTATCGCCGGCCACGAGTTCAACAACCACTGTCATCGCGGTGTACCGGGTCGGCGGGAATTTTGCGGGAACGCATGTCGCGCGGATATAAATTATTATTCTTTTTTTTTTTTTTTTTAATATTTCGCCAGAGTTCAAACCAACGAATCATCGATAAGTGTAAATTTTCACGCGACCAATCCCCCGATTCGCCGTTTAAATAGATACCTTGTCGAGTTGACATTTCGCTCCCCTATTTTCAACCTCAATTTTCTCACGTTTATGGATTCTAAAAGATTTCGAGAGGTTTTTAATTTATATAGAAATCGAGCTTCCAGTTTGTATCTCAAATCGATGAACGAACGGTTTCCCCACTCAAAGATTTTTAAAAGAGAAACTTTCGGCAAAGATTAAATAGTTTCGAAAAAGATCTGTATTAAAGTGGATGTTAGATTAAAAACTGAGATCGAAGATGGGAGAAAAGAAAAATTTCGACTCGGGATCTCGCGCGCGAAACGCATTCCTGGAATTAAA